TGGAACTTGACCCCATCTGCCCAGGTTGACCATGTGGCCAAGCATCCCCAAGCCACAGTGTCAGTGACTCTGGACTCTGGCGATCCTTTCCAGGATTTTCCTTGGATCTAGCCAACTTTTGATTACGACCATGCAGCAAGCCTTCACACCACAGTCTGGCCCCATCAAATGTCATCCAATCCAACCCAGCTGCTCCCTTCTGCACGGATCGGGAGGGATGTAGCAGGAGTGCCCTGGCAGAGAGCAGGCTGTGGGAGAAAACTGCTGACTTAAGGAGAAGATGGATGAGCTCGGATGGGAAACGTTGAGCTTGGTATGGTTTTGAAACAGAAAGAAAAGCTGCATCATCGGATTTTAATGACATCAATAGGAGGCTGCAGGGACTGGGGAGGACGTTGGGCTCTCCAGCTGCGTGGACTTGGAGAGCTAATGAGCTGCTCCTATACCCAGGCATTGCATCTTTAAGAGCCGGCCACAGTTCTTAATTTGCAGAGCTTTTGTAATGAATAGAAACAGCATTGGTGAGAGATGAGCTAGTGGTCTTCCGGATGAACTGGTAGTTATCCCATGGCTGGCTCCCAGGGCCTTTGCAGGCACCTGTGCTGATACATTAGCCCTTGAGGCCATGAACACTTAGGAATGGTGCATTTCTTACTCATTGGGTCTGTAGTTCTGTAATTCCTGTTGCAAAGTACACAGCCTTTCAAATCAGTTAGGCAATCCCTGCGCCTCCCAACTCCTTGATGAATAAAACACATGTCCCAGCTTACCTGTCTCAATGCACACCTACTGCCCCAGCAGATGTATTAATAGCACCTCGTAGTTATTGTTAGTGCTCCAGTTTGGATAATAAGTTATATGAGTGACATGGCCACCCTACATATAAACGCATGAGGCCATGGAGAGCAAGGACCCCCTTCTGGAGCCCAGCCAAGATGGAACACACCCATCCCTGCAATAAGCAAAGCTCACTTTGGGATGGAGGGAGGCTGGGCTGTGTGCACCCGGCCAGCCTGGGCCTCTGTGTTCCTGCTGGATGGTTCTCTGAGGGCTATCCGCATCTCACCTTGCCCCTTGCTAACAGTTGGCCCCATGAGCAGAATATGGTGGGACCCTGGAGGTGGGAGAGACCCCTCCAGGTGTTCTGGTTGAGTGGAGGGGTTGAGATGCAGTGGTCAGTGGGGGGCTGGAGGGGAGGCTATATTCTCAGTCGGCTGCAGCCCTAGAGGGTCTACTGTGAAAGGAAACGTGGACGCGTCAGGCTGCCCATGCCCTGTGTCGTCCCCCGGCTCTGGCCTGGTGGCCTGTGCAATGTGGGACAGGCTCACTGGTCCTGCAAGGCTGGCCTGTGTCCTTTCAGGGGAGGGAGATGCTGTGCAGGCTCAAGTCTCTATTCCAGACAGAAAGAAGCGGGAGCAAAGAAGGGTACCTGCCATCTGATGGGGCTCCCTCAGGCAGAACCATTTATAGTTCTTAGAAAAGGGGACGGAGGAGATGGAAAGGCTGCCAAATTTTCCACCATGGGAGAGACACAGGGAAGGGGCCGGCCGGATCTGAGAGCCAATAAAGAAATGACAGGCAGAGCAACTGTGGGAGGTGAAAGCGGGGAGTGGCGGTGAGGCCTGGGGAGAGGCTTGTGCGGTGGGCTTTGGCTCTGGTCCCTGTGTGCACCTCATAAAAAGAGCCAGGGGCCAGGGTCAAAAAAGTGTGCCCATGGCAGCATGGACTCTGGGCAAGGACGCTGTCAGTCCTTCAGCACGTTTTGCAAGGGCTTCTGTGCCCTGAGGTAAGACCCTTTGAAATAAAGAAGACGGGAGCGAGGCTTGGTCCCTGTCCTGCCCATCCACGCCAGGGCCATCGTTGTCCCTGTGCTCCGGTGCCTACGTGCTGGAAAGACGGAGGTCTGTGGCTCACATGCACTAGCTGACAGTGGCAGCTGAATGACATCTCTTTCATGCTTCTAGACTATTAGACAGCCTGAAACCTTCCTTTCGTTTGTGCCCCTGACAGGACACCTGTGATCGATGAGATGGAGTGAGGCTGTGCCAACAGCCAGCTCCCCTGGCCACTGCTGGGGCAGGAGGTTTCTCAGTGAGGCAGGAGGCCTGGTTGCAGGGGTGCAGAGCACACTCCCTGCCAGGCTTTCCAGGGGGAGTCTCTGCTTTAAGCCCATGTTGTCTGAGTCGTCGTCACTCCTTGGGCAACAAATGTGCTCACCGCTGGTGGGTGCACAGAAAGAGCATGGCCATGGTTCTAGCTCCTGGAGGGATGAGTCATAGATAAATGAGAAAATAGAGGTGAGTGGCAGGGTACTGTGGCACAGCGGGGGGGCCTCTGGATGGCTGAACATAGTGCAGTGTGCACAGGTGACTTTGTCTGCTGTCCACTGTGTGTGTCCTGGTTCCCCCAGCAGAGTCCCCCAGAGGTCCCTCTCAGAGCTGGGCCCCTGGAACATGCCTTCTAAACATCATTTCCTTCTCCTCGCAAGAAGCGCCGTCGTAATCACGCTCTTGCTCAGAAGAATGTCTTTCCAGCTCAGGTCGAGCATGTGAGACCTGACTGCCTCACAGGGGAAGCCCCAGGGGGCTTCCTGGGAACAGCAGGGTGTTTGCAAACATGCAGTGTCTACCAAGGGGTCTTGGCATCACTATACCCATCTGAAGAGCCCATCCCGACAACATTCCATCCCCTCAGACCTGGGATTTGCAGGTCCATTTGGGGCACTGGCGTCCTCCAGGCATCGGTGCCATTAACTCAGACCAGCCTCTCTCCACAGGCCACCTGTGTAACCACTTACCTTCTTCCTGAAACACCTCCCATCCATTCCCACCCCAGTCAGTGATGCCAGCACCACTGGCTTCTAGGGGCACTTCTGTTACCATCCACTCTTCACGTGGCTTCTATAGAATGGACATGTGACTTTGTCGATGCCTACTTAAGACTCTCCCTGGGCTCACCTGGCTTGCAGCTACCAGCTCCTGCGAGTTCCCTGTCCCATACCTCCAGTTTCTAGCCCTGTGTCAGGGGCCTGTGCCAGGAGGGCTCCGTAAATGCTTTCTGTGTGCGCTAGCCATCGAGCGGGGTCTGCGGGCACTGTAAATGTGTGTCTGTTGATGTGAACACTCACTGCCTTCCTGTGGCCTCCATGCCGACATTTACGCTATTTAGATGAATGGAGACTGTGCCTCCGTGCCTGCGAGCGCCTCTCCCCTACAGAGCCAGCTCCTGTGGAGCAAAAAAGGGCTTTGTTCTTTGCAGACGACAAGCAAGAGGACACTCTGCTAATAGGCTCTGGAAGAAAACATGGCCAGGTCTCTGGGCATGAGATGGATGAGGCTTGGCTGTCCTGGAGCGCCTTCGGAATGGCCTTGTTGCCAGCTGAGTTGGTGTCACGTCAGCAGCTGCTCTTCAGGCCCAGCAGACAGAAGGTGGAGGCACAGGATGGGGGTGCAGGGAATGGGGGTGCAGGGATGGTCCTCAGGGGTCCACAGACTTGCTCCAGGCTCCTGTGCTTGGGCCTCTCCTCCATGCTCCATGTACTTCCTGCATCAGGGCCTCCTCCACCAGCTCCTCTCCTCTGTCTTTTTCATAAATCCAGCTCAGGCCTCTGTCCTCTTGGATGCCCTGGCCTTTTCACACGAGGGGTTGCTCCCTCCTGTGAGTGCCCATAGCCCATAATCTGTGCTTGGTTTTGGCAGGAGCAGAGAATTTACTCTTCCTCTCTTCCTCCCCTTCCTCCCTCCCTCCAGCAAGCTGAGCACCTACTCTGTGTTAGACACTGACGGTACAGAAGTGAAGATGTGCACCTGCCTCCGCTAACCAAGAACTGTGAGAACACAGAGGTGGGGTGCCCACCTACGCCTGCAGCACGGGAATGCCAGGGAGGTGCCTGGAGGATGAGAAGTCTGAACTACGTATCTTACATGAACAAAGGGCAATGAGGCACCAAGGCCCTGTGGTCCATGAGCAGCACATGCTCTGAGATGCAAACACACCTGGCTCCGTGTGGCAGGGCCAAGCTGAGGGAAAATCTGCAGAGCCCCAAGCATCTGGACTGGGCCCCGGAGTCCCTGAACACCCTGATGAGCATCGCATCTCACACTTAAACATCTCTCACAGCACCATGCACATGGCGGATGTGCCATAAATACTCTGGAGGGACAGGAAGTCACGTTCTGGCTCGGGAGGGCGGAGTCCACATTCTCGAGGGGGAATTGTGTAGTTATGAGGCACGTTTCACACTGTTTAAAATAACTTGTATCTTAAACAAGTCATACTTTGTATCGCAGGAGTCAGACAGTAAGAGAATATAAAAACCAACTATAATTCTACAACTTCCCAATCATTGACTAAAAAATATGCGAGAATTGGAGGTAAAGAGTAGCAATCCATTGTTTCGTTAACCAGGATTCCCTTGACTATTAGGGAGTTGAAGACTTCTCATTGTTTTCTGTGACACACAGAAATTTCTTCTTTGATAAGCTAAGCATTTGCTTCTTGTCTTTTTCTTATTGATTTGCAGAAAGTCTGTACTTTGGGCAATATTAACAATTTTATGAACATAGCAAATATTTCCCTAAATGATGTTTGTCTTTTAACTTTATAATTTTGCATTTTTGCTACTCAAATATATTTACTCTCAATGCAGTTGAATCTGTCATGCTTTATGGCTTTGTCTTCGGTATCAGGTTTAAAAATATATCCCAGTGCTGTAGAGTCCCCTATGTACCTGTTAAGTCATTCTGTGGCTCTGTTTTTACATTTAATGATTTAGTGCCTCTGTAATTTGTTTAATGCATGCCAAAAGGGTGAAATCTAATCTAATTTATTTGCTAAGTCAATTGTTTGGATAAGACAGTACCTTTTTCCCCTCAATATTGTACTGTTTCTTACTTTTTTTTTCTCTTTCTTTGTTTACAGGTGAAATTTAGAATTATTTTGTTGAATTCTGAAACTCCTCATTGCTCGTTGCCTATCTAGTTTCCTTTCTCTTTTTCTAGGGTCCCTCATGGCATAGAAGGACATGTTGACTCAGTTCTTAGCAATGAGATGAAGTGAAAATTTTCCTGCTAGGCTACCAGAAAAAAACTTTGTTTTCTGATAAAAAGGGACATATTTATCTGGTGTACACCTTCTCCCCTTCCATCCTGCCTGGAATGTGGCTGAGAGGTCTGGAGCAGCAGCAGCTACCTTGTGCATGTGGAACAGCTGATGTAACAGGATACAGAAAGACAGCAAAAATACAAGAGAACAAACTATTCCCTTTGGCATCATATGTTGTTTGTACCAGTCCTTGATTGTCTAACTTCGAACTTCCCACTAAAAGAAAAAATAAATGCTTTTATGTTAAGTTACTGCTGTAGTTAGATTTCTCTTATGTTCAGCCAGACTCAATCCTAGTAGCTCAAATTCTTTTTGCACTTTTAATTGGATTTGTTTTACATTAATGGGTGAATTGGAAGAGGTGTGGGTCCATTCCAGTATCACAGCTTTCCATCCAGCCTCCACATGCATGTTACCGAATTCCATTTCAGTCACCTTGCTGTTGCCATCAGACCACTCCCATGGGGAACACCATTCCTGTCCTCGCTGCCAATCTGGGTCCTGGCTACCTGCCTCTTCTAGAGCCTTTCAGAAATATTCCCACTAGGGGCTCCCCTTTCCTCCTGTGGGTGGCTCCCCTTGATCTGGTGCTCCCCTGTGACTGGGGGCAGGAGAGGGACTGGCTTTAAGAAAAAACAGACACCACCAGCTCACCGGGGTAACAATCTCACTATTTGAAAGCCACGCCTTAAACACAGGGAAAGGGAGCTGGTGCTGTTTTGAGTATCTGGAGTGTTCCAGGCTGCACTAGAGCCAAGCTCTTGGTTTCCTTAGGGCTCTTCCCAAAGATTGGCTTCTCTCTCTTTTCCAGAACTACACCTCCCCACCCCGCTGACCCAGGGCACAGCTGAGAGTTTGCTGTGGTCAGGAGGAGAGTGTGAGTTGGAGACCATGCTCCCTGCTCTGGGGCACTCTTTTTCCATCTGCCTCTGCAGCCACATTCCTAGGGTGACAGCCACTCTGCCTGCCTGGGGCCTAGGAGGAGGGCACCTGCTGCAGGGTCCCCAGTGGACTGCAGAGGATGTGAGAGCGTGAATGAGTGAGTGGCTGGCTATGCCTCCCGCAGCTTATCTTGCCTGATGCGGGTGCCTCATCTCATTTCGCTCTCAGAAGAGCCCCTGACACGGATTTAACAATTTCCAGTTCATCAGCAAGAACATCAAAACCAAGTGGAAAGCTTAAGCACTGGCATCCAGGAAGTAACCCCAGACCAGTGCTTTAAACAGAAGGTGCCTGACTAGAGGGCCGGGCTTGTTCCCTTGAAGCTATCTGCTCTTAGTTCACCCCTTGGTCTTCTCTCTAAAATGTCAGGTGCTCCCATGACATTTCCAAATGAGATATAGATCTCCTGCTTCCTTTCCGTTGTTCCCAGTGTCACTACACAGGGACCACAACAGGACTTAGAGAATGCTGGTGGTGGTTCCCAGGAGGCCAGCTCTGCCTAGTTCAGCAAGTCTATATTGAATGCCACTCTGTGCTGGTACACTAGCTCTGGGCACACGGAGATGGGGACAAGGTCCTCGGCCTGAGCTCTCCCGCAATAGCTCAACCCAAAGCCTGGACACTCAGACCAGGCTGCCAGGGCTCTGTGGCCCTTCTGGTGCCATGGCAGCTGGGGTAGAAAGGGATTTTGCATGTGGGTCCCAGCTGTGCTGTCAGGAAGCGTTGTCTGCAGCAGACACAAGGCTGTATCTCCTTGCTCTAGGCACATGGCCTCTGGCTGCTTGTGCGGCCATGCAGGTTCACCTGACTCCTTCTCCATCACAGAGCCCCACCCGATTCCAGGGCCCCTGCTTGACTGTGGTGATGAGTCTGGATGTCTGGGCCTTAGTTGGGAGATGGATGTGGGCCAAGGTACTAGCAGCATCATTTGAGAAAACATCAGTCTCAGGTGTGTGAGGAAGGACGTGGCCCTGGTGAATGGGCCAGCATGAAACCATGGTGGATCAGTGCCAGTCCTCCTCAAGGTTGGGAACCACTCAGTGTCTGGGGACCCTGACACTCTTGAAAAACCCTTTGTGAACACACAGTAAAACTGATGAGACCATTTCCAGGTCTGGCTGTTATCAACGCGTCTAAGAGTCCTCCCCGGGTGGCATCTCTTGGGACTTTGGTGGGTAAGTGACCACTGGGGTCAAAGGTACAGAGGTGTGAGTGTGTGTGGACAGGTGGGTGTGTGCACACATATCCCCTTAATCTGTGTGAGACTGTTTCTGAGTGTGCACACTGTGTTACATCCAGGAAGTAACCCGAGACCAGTGCTTTAAACAGAAGGTGCCTGACTAGAGGGCCGGGCTTGTTCCCTTGAAGCTATCTGCTCTTAGTTCACCCCTTGGTCTTCTCTCTAAAATGTCAGGTGCTCCCATGACATTTCCAAATGAGATATAGATCTCCTGCTTCCTTTCCGTTGTTCCCAGTGTCACTAAACAGGGACCACGGCAGGACTTAGAGAACGCTGGTGGCAGGTCCTCTCATCTGTGTCTCTGCTCTATTCATGTAGATGTCATAGTCGTGTCTCCCATGCAGGCCACTGTGACACAGGTGTGTGGCAAGGCTTCCTAGACACCCTGGGCGGGTGCATGGAAGATAGCCCTGGGCGTGTGCCCTGGTGGATGTGTGGAAGGTCGTGGCTTCAGGCCACTGACTCTCAAGGGCCCCTTCCAAGGTGCTGCAGAGGCCGTAGCAACGTGTTCCCACGGCCCAAGTGCTTACCGACAGGTTCTAAAGCAGGATATTTCTGCCGTGCTCCCCAAAGACCTCTGTCTTAGAGGAAAACGCAGCTGAAGGTGTGTTTGTCCTCCTTTACATAAGGACTTGCCTGGATGCCTTCCGATTCCTCTGTTCAGCCAGCACAAGTGAAGAAGAGCGGAGACACTGAGGCAGAGAGAAGCTGTCCTTGGGGTTTTCCGTTGGGGGGAGACCAAGCATGGAGGGGACCCATACGTCTCCATTCCCAGTCAAGCGCTCCAGACCTCCAGGGCCTCGATGAGGCTGTTAAGGAAACACATTGAATACTGCACTTCTCAAGCCGCCTGGGGTGATTAAAGCCCGAGCTGTGATTAAAGGAGGCTGGATGTGAATTTCATAGCTCTCACCATTTTCCCTGCCATCTTCCTCGCTCATCTTTGGCACTTTCCAATCACGCTGCATCTGTTCTGCTGTGGAGTTAGAATCTGCCTTCTTTGAGAGAGCCCTGCTGATCGCTCTCTGTGGTGGGGCTGGGCCTTGGACTCTGGGGGAGCGGAGGAGAGGAAAGGACAGGGTGACCCCAGGCTCACCCGGGAAGGCGCCGCTGCCTTGGGAAGGCACAGGCTGCGGCTCTGTGAGGCAGAGGAGCTGGGGCTTTGGAGGACTGTGAGCCTGAGATGAGGCTGGCGCTGGTGAGGCTGTGAGTCCCTTTGCAGACGTACACACTCCCTGCCTCTGAGAGGCACCAAGGGCAGAGAGCCTGGGCCTGATTGCCAGTACCCAGACACGCCCTCACCAGAGCCAAAGAGTGTGATGGGGTGATCAGTACTGTTAAGAAAAAGGAAAAGTGAGACTGGGTAGAGGGGACACAGAGGAGTGTGTGTGTGCACGTTGGTATTTTATACCAGGGATAGAGCCTCCAATAAGGTAAAATTTATCAGCATCTAGAAGGAAGTGACGGAGGAGGCAGCCATGGAGGGCTTAGGACATGGGCAGCAGAGGGAACAGACAGGGCAACGGTGCCCTGGGTCATGGGGGCAGGTTCAGCATATTCCGGGCAGCAGGGCCTGAGCAGGACATGCAGTGGGAGGGTGACGGGCGGGGTTGGAAGCGAATCAGGCCTGAGAAAGCTGGGCCTGTGGGGTGCGTGGCCTCTGGCTGCCCAAGGAACCCTTGCCAGTGGCCAGGGGCCTGGCTGTGCTGTGTATTCCCTGTACTCCTTAAGGAGCAGGCAGGTCACACGAATCACCTGCTATGTGTTCCCTGTGAGTCTCAGAGGTCACTACTGAAACTATCAATTTCTAGATAAAGAAAGGGAGATTCAGCAAGTTCAAATGGGTCGTTCCAGCACACACAAGAAGGAGTGGAGACCTGAGTTACACCTGTCCCCTCTCCACGCTGCCCACCAGGACTCTCTTTGCAGTCCTGAGCCACACCTGTCCCCTCTCCACGCTGCCCACCAGGACTCTCTTTGCAGTCCTGAGTCACACCTGTCCCCTCTCCACACTGCCTATCATGGCCCTTCATTTCGTGTGGCCAAAGGCCTGCTCCTTGCTGAGCCGCTGCTGTCAGTAGAGGGTGACTTGCTGCTCTTGGTGCTCTGTGGAATCTCCACGCCATCTTTCCCAGGGAACCTGCCACCCAACATCTTTTCTGAGTCTAGGAAGATGGGTCCAGCCCATTAGTCACAGGACCTCCAGCCTCAGGAATTTGGGGGGAAAGTCAGAAAGTTCTTTCTGCCGCCATGGGAAATCAGGACTGAGATTTCCCTGAAATCTCCTGAGAGGCAGGGTGGGGAGTTGTGGGTCTTGGAGAGAGCACGGCACGTTTATTTGATCCTCTTCCGAGCGAGTGCCTGGTCCAGCAGGCCCACCCACCTCCGGGGCAGTGTACGCCTCCCAGGAGTGCTCACTTCCCACATCTCTCTCCTGTCCTCTCGTCCACACGGAAACGGGCACACGTGGTTTCCCCTTGGAGGAGAAGTCCACGGTCCCAGATCCCTCGTCCGGTCAATCACACCCTCTTCTGAGTGTTCTGGAAGAGGACAATCTGCCCTCTGCGTTCAGCCCCTCAGAGCATACACAGTGCTGTTGAGACCCCAGCCCCCCATGGCTTCCCGCCTCAAGGGCTGTTTCTGGGCACCTGTTCCTGAACCTCTTTCTCAGAATCACCTGCCTGAACAGTATGCCGGAGACTTTCTTGCTTAGAGTGTCGAGTCACCAGTGCCACAAAGCACACGCCACGTAAAATGAAATATGCTGCTCACCCTCAGTAATAGATGTTTATGAGCTTTTTTGTGTCTCCCTAGAGAGTGAACCGACGCTGAACGGACCACCGCCTTTCCTAAGTCAATGCCCGTGTCTTCCCGGCCGCGGTGGTTTTTCTGTTTTGTGCTGAAAGCTACTGCTGAGTCCTGTTCAGGGTGGAGGCTCAGTCCTGGCCCGTGGCCTGGGCATTAGTTGAGGTTGTTTAACCCCTCAGATGCCCTTGAAGAAGTTTTGGTTTCTGGAAGTCCTTTTCTGGTTCATGCGAGCCTCCCTGTCTGGGGCTGGGCTCCGGCGTG